TATATATATATATATATAATGATACCATTTTTTAGACCAAGTACCGATATTTGTCCTCCGATACCAATTACCGATACCTTTCTGTATATTGTCAAGTGACAGTTTTTCTAAAACAATACAGACTAATGATTTCAGGACAGTGGTGGAGCGCCAGGGCACAGTTGCAGCTGGAACCCTGGTATTTCTGATGAAAATACCAAGTATTGGCACTGGTATCTGTGCATCCCTAGCACAGACAATTTATGCAGCTCTTTACAAACTGTACATTCACATGATTCCTGCCCTCAAGAAGCTTACAATCTAAGGTCTCTAGGGCCAGTTTAGAGATGAGCCTGCATGTCTACCAGCATGTCTTTGGAATGACAGAGGAACTCCCAGAGCAAACCCACGCAAGCACAGTGAGAACATGAAAACTCCTTGCAGATAGTGTCCTGGCCAGTATTCAGACCAGGGACTCTAGGGCAGAAGTACTAACTACCAAACTACCATGCTGTCCCCCCCCCTGTTGATACTACATATGGCCTTTTACCTAACTCTGAAACATGACCCTTAATATTTGACCACAAGAATGAATCCTAAAAGTGACTGGCCCAGCATGGTCACACGGTCAAATATGCTAGTCCATAACCAGAAGTATAGAGGTTTTTCCCTCAGCTCCTGGCGCTAAACAGAGCAACAGGAGAGTGAAGGAAAGGCAAGTATTGATTAATGTTATTGTCATTACTTAAGATAACAAAACTATATATAACTTTTTTTAGCACAAACGCTGCTTTGTTTAGGTAATATTGTCCTGCAAAAATGATGTTATGTTTAGGCAATACATTAACAAAAAAAGTAACCATTTAAAAAAACACTTTTTTTATTACTTAATCAGTGTAAGTTTAAAAACAAAAATAGTACTGCATAAAAAAGTATACATTTTATTCTATATTATCTCATTACAATGTAACACTTAAAATTATGACTCTGGTACCAAGCATTACAAAGTAATTTCCAGTTAAATAAAAGGCATTTTTTAAATGTTACACTTTTTAATTAAGGCAGTAAAAAAAATAACGACCTAAATGGATAAAAACAAATTAGATTTGAATGGTTATGGTTAGAAAAGCAAAGGGGAAGAATGAGTTAATTAGGGATATTAGAGTAAACGAAGAGCTAATAAAAGGATAAAACAGGAATATATTTCATTTAGAAAAAAAAACAAAACACTTTCTGTAAATGAATGAAACAGTAGATACAAAAGAAAGTAACAATGTTACTTTGGATCTCTATCTCATGTTTGAACAGTGTTTATAAACACCATAGTAGAGCCAAAAAAAAAAAAAAAAAACAAAAAATGACACGCCACATCCAGATCAGACCAGACTGTTTCTAGACCCCAAAAGACATAATAATGTATCCCTGTGCTATTTCTGGCCTCTGTTCACACCAGCGCAGTGCGTTCCAGACTCGAAAAATACTGCATGCCTCATTTTGTCTGGTCTGGAATGCACTGGAACACATCAAAACTGCACTGTACTGGAACGCACCTGAAAGCCCATTATAAGCTAAAAAAGAAAAAAAATCTCCGGAATGTGGCAAAATTGCGGCAATACGCAATGCACCACGTTCCAGATCTGGTCTGGAAATTGTTGTGAACCTGGCCTAAGAGCCCAAAGTTCTTCATTAATTCCATAAGTGATAACAGGAAAGCAAAAAGGGAGCCAACATGTTTTGGAGGCTAGAAAATCACCCTTTCTCAGGGCATAGACAATGTCTATTGGACTTAAAGTAAAGCCCCTGGACAAAGAACCAAGAAAGGAAGTCAGTAAGAATTCTTTGCCTGCATTAGTGAGGATTCTTGCCTGCATTAGTGGCACAACAGATATAATTATTTTTAAACACTCGGGGAAATTCAATAAAGAATGTACAATGTGTTTTGGCAGTATGGTCACTTTAAAACAACTTGCGCCTAATTTGTGAAAGCCTTGCAATAGTTTCTGTTGCAGCAAATTCAGGTAGTTATTACCACCACTTAAAAACCAAAGAAAAGCCAAAAAAAAAAAAAAAAAAATCAACAAATGACACGCCACATCCAGATCAGACCAGACTGTTTCTAGACCCCAAAAGACATAATAATGTATCCCTGTGCTATTTCTGGCCTCTGTTCACACCAGCGCAGTGCGTTCCAGACTCGAAAAATACTGCATGCCTCATTTTGTCTGGTCTGGAATGCACTGGAACACATCAAAACTGCACTGTACTGGAACGCACCTGAAAGCCCATTATAAGCTAAAAAAGAAAAAAAATCTCCGGAATGTGGCAAAATTGCGGCAATACGCAATGCACCACGTTCCAGATCTGGTCTGGAAATTGTTGTGAACCTGGCCTAAGAGCCCAAAGTTCTTCATTAATTCCATAAGTGATAACAGGAAAGCAAAAAGGGAGCCAACATGTTTTGGAGGCTAGAAAATCACCCTTTCTCAGGGCATAGACAATGTCTATTGGACTTAAAGTAAAGCCCCTGGACAAAGAACCAAGAAAGGAAGTCAGTAAGAATTCTTTGCCTGCATTAGTGAGGATTCTTGCCTGCATTAGTGGCACAACAGATATAATTATTTTTAAACACTCGGGGAAATTCAATAAAGAATGTACAATGTGTTTTGGCAGTATGGTCACTTTAAAACAACTTGCGCCTAATTTGTGAAAGCCTTGCAATAGTTTCTGTTGCAGCAAATTCAGGTAGTTATTACCACCACTTTAAGAACATATGGCTGCAACCGATTTAAAAAGAATTACAGCAAGTTTACAGGTTAGGAAACTGGAGGTAAATAACAACAAATATGAGCTGGTGTATAGAGAGACACCAGTGCTCAGAGTGGGGCGTGTAGGTGCTGGGCAGTTGTCAGGAATGATGGTTTCCTGCTCATGGTTCACTGGTTACTAGGACATTGGTCACCGGCATCCTTGCAACCAATTATGCTTCCCCATCTCTTATTGAGCTGCTAGTTGGGAGATTCCCCTAGCCAGCAGCTGAATGCAATGGGGCCAGAGGTGATGGCTAGCATTATTCAAATATGGTAATGGCTATAGTTGGGTTGTGATGATAATGAGGTTTGAGCATATTAATATTCACTATGAAATTGCAGTCTTCCATTCAGTTCAATTGACCTCAGGCTGCCTTAATTTTGCCAAGCATCTCCACAGTTCAAAAAAACAGATATCTGTCAATCTGGCCGGTTATCTTTATGACCCTTAGTGAAGGTCTGGTATGTAAAGGGTTAGCTGCAGAGTTAACCAACTCATCATACATTATTACTTATAACTATTTTCACAAAAATCAAAACAGCTTAAATTACTCTGAACTGAACTGTTCATGGAGATTTAAAAAGGAAAAAACAAAGACTTAAAAACATACCAGAGGAAAAAAAAAACCCCACAATCCTACGAGTTATTACTTTGTTTATTAAATGGAAGACCATAGGTTTGGGTAACCTACTTCATAAGCTATTCAGATATCGCCCACCTAAAACTGTCAATGACGAGTCCTTCCATCTACTCTGAATTGTCATGTTCTGCAATGCGCTTTTCTTCTGGTTGCCAGGCAACCTTATCAGAGTGCTAAAGTGTAACTTGTGTCCACAACCCA